TTTTTTTGGTAAATTTTGATACCCTTTATATCATAAATGCTTCATTATTTTATAAACCATGATTTCATATTCTTTATTTTGTAATTTCTACATGCCATCTGACTAGATTTAAACTTATGATCTAATATCCGCAAAAATCCCAAAACCGCAATTCTCAAAGTTCCAACAAGTCCAAATATCAGACTTTGTACTGTATTTATACGAGTAGAACCCATATATTTAATGCCCGATCTGCTTTTAGGTGTATTTTGCCATGTTTTAATTTATGAACTTTTTCATTTGTACTATTTTGTATATGTAAATATGTTATGAAGCATTTATATGCTGTTCATAAATGTTACTTAGTTTTAATATTTTTGGCAGCCAGAATGCAAATGCTGTGTGAAAAGAGTGAACTCTGTGACATACAAAGAAAACCATTTTGCTGTGAGGTGTTTCTTTTATGTGCTGTTAAAAATGCCTGCAGAACCTAAATCAAATTTTTATCTATTCTATATACTCATTTATACACTGTGTAGCATTACTATATTCTAGCTATACATTCTACTGGTTTTACCGAGACTTCATTTTATATATCTCCTAGTAAATCTCTGAGCGTCACGGTATTTAATTTTTAGAAATTAAGAGAATAATTCCCTCCAAAAAATAATATTTATTGAATTAATGCAACTTAAATAGTGCATATTCCATTTTCCAGCCCCAGTTATTTTGAGCCTAATATCTCGTATTAAATTTTATTTGACTTTAAGCATATCATTCTATTAATCACCTTAGTAGAAGTCATCAAATTTTCAGAATGTGCAAACACTGAAAAACATGCACATAACTTTTTTTCATGTAATGTTGCTCATAACAGTTCTTCAGTGAAGCAAGATCGCCATTTTCCTATGCATTCTTATGCAATTATTTTTATGGGAAAATTATGGAATTTTTTGCCTTAAATTCAATTTTAAAATATGTACTTGTGGAATTTGCCAACAATAGAATTAAATGTGATAAAGTTTCTGCAGAAACACAATAATATTTTGCTGCAAAAGATAAGTAATGAGAGATGTTTGGTAGGTAGTCAGTGAGCAGTGGCAAGTTTGCAGTTCTGTTGTTGTTGTTGTTGTTGTTGTTGTTGTTTTTTTTTTTTTTTTTTTTAAAGTGAAAACAGGTTACTGTGCACATGGGTAGGAAAAGGAAAAAAAAAAAAAAAAAATACAGAGGATTTCACAAGTGTAAATGTTTTATTTTTTTAATGTTTAATCCTTATTTAATAGTTAAAAATTTTATTTCAAATTGCTAGAACTGGTCGTCTTTTGATATGTGGATAAATTTTTTCACAATTTCAATAAATAAATAAATATTGTTTAAGAATCTTTTTTTTAAAGCAGTTGCGAAGTGTGTCAAATTGCGCAAAGATGGTAGCATCAACATGCAAGTAGCATGGAAGATTTAATTAATGTTTAATCATTTAATATTTATATTTAGTGTTCTTTTATGTGACTAAATGGTACTGTAATGGATATTATATTTAAATAGCTAATGTTAGTAGAATTATAAATTAAATTGTTTTATTCCCTGTGCAGTGCAGCACGTGTCGAATATTAAGAGAAGGCTAAGCCAGAAAATTAAAAATACAACAATTAGGGCTTCCCTGCCTCATGGAACTCAATCACATTACAGGTCCACTCCCCCTTTGGGCACCTCGTGGAGGTTCAACCTCCACTATTACCCTCCAAGGGAGCAGCGCACCACCTGGATAAAACACCAGGCAGCACTGGTCGTCAAGTTGCTCCTACCAGTCGAAATTAAAAAAAAAAAAAAGAGGGTGTGCATTTAACATTTAATAAATATCTCTTTTTGATTTCGAGAAATTGCTGGAACAATCTCGTGCGGATGATTTAAAAAGCCAGAGAAAGATCACCTCAACTCAGTTTTGTTTAGAAAACTGTTGCTGTTTACTGTAGGGAATTTGCGGTGAAATTGGATTAGCTTTCTCTACGGTTCTCTATTTTGAATTAATTCTGTTGAACGTTTTTAGTAGTTTAAATAATAACAACTGTGAGATATTGCAATATTGTACAAGTATATGAGGAAATTTAAGGATTTTTGTTTTATTTAATAATAAATTTTATTCATTTTTCATTGGACTTGTGCATTCAATTCATAATGAACCCGTGCGCATGCAGCGCTTTTTGGTTTCAGAAGTGGGGTTTTGAATACCAATAACTAGAGCGTTGGAAGAACAGTTGAGAACTACATTTGCTGCATTTCAAGAAAAGATGGAAGCTGACCAAGCATCCTTTAAAGAAGAAATTAAAGCTGATCAAGAATCCGTTTGTTTGCGCTTTATGTAAATTTTGATTTTGTTCCCTGCAAGAGAGCGCCGAACTACCTGTATATCTATTGTACGAACTTGTTCTTCACACAGTCTAATAAACGCAATAACAAACGTTTGTGTCTACTTTCCATCCGCTAATACCGTTAAAGAAGAAATGAATGTAGGCCAAGAAGAAATAAAAAGAGAAATAACCTGCTAATAGAAAACTAATTTGAAGCTGTGGAAGACAGAATAAATACAGTTGAAAATAAAGTTGGAAAAAAGGAAGAAAGTTGTTTCGGTAAAGGAACAAATAGAAGAAAAAGTTTCTTCTGTAAAAGATCAGATAGAGGAGAGAGTTTCTACCATGGAACAACAAATTGATGACACCGAATCTGCAGTCGCAAAAGAAGTTGATACCCTGAAGAAAATCATAGTGATGTCAGGGAGCAATTCTGATGGTTTTAAATTTTTACCCACGCCTGCTCGTCGCCTCCCTAAAGTTATCCATATATGATGGGAAGACTTCTTGGCAAGTGTATAAGATGCAATTTTCAATAGTAGTGGAAGCGAATAGTTGGGATTCCTAACATGAGGCCTGTCATCTCGCTGCTTCTCTGAGAGTCTCAGCAGATAGTCTTCAAACAGTCTCAGAAAACCAAAGGCTAGATTTCAGTCAATTAAAATCCTGCCAACAGAAGCCTACCAAATCACTGCAGGCATTCATCAAGGCTGTCCCACCTGGCCGCTTCGGAGTGCCCGACAGAAACAAGGAAAATCCTGTCTCTGCAATACTTTATCGAAGGCATCTAGTATCCTGAAATGCAGAAAGCTCTGCCAATGGAGGCCGTGAAATTCGAGGCAGCCCAGCAAGCAACTCGTAGAGATTGCTACCCACTCAGAGCTGTGCGAATCCATGAGCCTGTGGATCAATTGATGGCTCGTTTGTACGATTTATCCAGAGAAGTGAATGCTTTGATATGGAGTAGGAGTGAGAAAAAATTGGCTCTAAGGTATTGGAAATGTGGTACTGAAGGCCACCTATGATGGAATTGCAGAAGACCCCAGGGCACAGAAACAAAAGTGCTGGAACTGTGGAGCTGAAGGCCATGTACGAAGGAACTGCAGAACATCCTGGGGTATGGAAAATAAGAGCATTTCCCAGCAACAACGCAGGAAATAACTTAATGATCATATTGCGGAGCAGAATTTAAAGAAGAGTGAAAAACCCCCTTTTATAGCACTCAAGATTTCTGCAGTGAGTGGTAGCACTGATGGACTTTCTACAAATGGGTATATCAATAGAGTTCCTTGCAATATGATCATTGGCAACACAGGAGCTAATGTTACCATCATTTGGGGAGATTTAGCTCAACAGCTTAAAGTTAAACTCATTTAGACGCTATCCTGTGTTATCCTCCATACTGCGTCTCACGATAAAATTGCTATACATGGGAAGTTAAATGTGAGCATCACGTTTGGAAGTGCCGCCTACTATCGCATGCCATATGTTGCAGATCACCACATGCTCGATTGAACTTTTTAAGGAAATAAGATTTTTCCTTGGACCTAAAACAACAAACTGCTTTTTAGCATCAGAGGATATAACCATCCATCATCAGAAGAGATCCTCACCTGGAAACCCCAACTGCTTGTCTAGAAGACCCGGCTCAGAAAGCTGCCAGAATTATACTAGGATGGACGAGAAACACCAGACTACTGGCTATTCTCCATGCCAGATGCTCATCGGTCGTGACCCTCGTCTTCCCTATGATTGAAGAATACATCAAAGTTCTGCAGGCCCGGCTTGAAATGATGCAAGAGCGAGTCAACTTGGTGACGGAAAAGGTGAAGACCCGATATGACACAAGAGCTACTGGACATCAATTCCACGAAGAAGACACGGTGTGGTTGTGGAATCCGACTCGACGGAAAGGTCTCTGTCCAAAATTAGTCACCTTGTGATTCACTGAACTTTAAATCTAAAGTCATTCATTACTACAGGTTAGCTCATTACAATGGCCATAGTACTTAGTGTAAATAGTGTAAGACCATGGTGCTTTTTGTTTCTAAATGTGTATTGGATTTGTATTTAATATATGATAGTATTTGATTTGTTTAAGTTAGTTATTGCATTTATTGTTCATGTTGTTTGATATTGTAATGTTGTGTTTATTAATTGCATTTATGCCTTAGTTGTAAGTTTGGCTTCCTGTCCGGGGATTGTACTGCCCGGGACGTGCTGTCCTTGGGGAAGGGGGCAGTGTTATAGATTGGTATATATATATACAAGTGGTAATAATTTTGTTTTTTTATTGAAACTAACTGATGTTATCAGTAGGATGTTTTTAATGTTAGAAAACTCGAGTTTCCTGTAAACAATTTTACTATCTGTCATAGGTACTACCTGTCAGAAATTCTTTTTTTTTTTTTTCTCTTTCAGTGTGACTAAAATGTGCTGCAGTATATTTATTATTATGGCGTTAAAATTTCTGTATAAATACTGATAAAACTCATTAATCATGTATGGGTGGAAACCTATTTTAAGATTTGTGCAAATCTATGTGAAGTTAACAATGATTGAAACACGATCATATTTGAAATAATGAATCAGAACTTAATGTGAAGTGTTTTTAATTGCACTTTTGCTTGATGTTAGTGATGGACATATGACTTAATGTGAAAAATCTCTTAGGTTCTGCAACATCTGGATGTTTCACACTTACCATCAGATGAACCTAATCCGCATGTTGTAAGAATTGGATTTTCTGTTGAGAGTTCAACCCTGCAGTTAGGTAAGCTTACAATGCTTTCTTTGATTTAATGTCAATTTGTGTTTTCAAGATTATCAGGTAAATGAAGTAATATCTTTATAATAATTTACTGTGTGGTTATTTCTGAAAAGTAATGCCTATGAAGAGAAATGTGGTAGCCATAGATAGCAATAGATTGTGGATAAAAGCTATTGATCTTAAGGGTAATCTAGCGTAAATCCATATTCATCAAAGGCAGTGTTTTTTGTTTTTTCTTTTGGGTTAATTCTAAATAAAGTCTGATTTTCTACATGTATGTTGTTTAAGCAACATCTTATCTTTATTTTCGCCCCCTTTTTTTTTGTAGCGATGCCAACTATTACGAATATTTCATAATTATTACCTCTGTTTTATGGATGTTTCAAATCACACAGCTGTTGTGTTCAACTGAGAAAAACGTGATCATTGCCTATGATTGCACTCATGTCATTGCTGATGTATCATTTCCTATGGTTGTAGGATGTCACTGTCGATATGTCATATCTATTTAAACTGTTGTACTGACATCAGAAACATTGGCATATTTGGCTTTTGTGCATTGCCTGTTGGAGCTGTTAAATGCATGCATTATGATCTTAACCCATTTATGCGTACTCTTGTACATTTTTATTAATATCTCATGATGAATATACTTGCCATTTTTTCAGAGATATAAAAAAAATTTCGAAAATACAGAGAAAAAGTGGCATGTTTACTTGCTTCAAAGGTTTCAGTAAACTGTGTTGTATTTTGCAACGGTGACTACTGCAAGGTGGTGCATGCAATCCAGTAAACACCAGGGCTAAATGAAAATAAGAACTTTGAAAGTAGTACAATACAAAGTCCGAAATCCGGATGTCCATTATCCCGGAATTATCTAAAATCCAGACCTCAAAGCCACAAACATTTTTTTTTATTAATGCTTTATGCATGTGCATTTGATTTTTTCTTCCATAATAAAACGTGCAGATTTTTCACTTACAAATTTAGATTCTTAATTTAATCATGTAAGCATAAATTTGTGAGATTAATAATTTGGCTCCGTAGCTGAGTATTTACTTGGCATACATTTCAAACCGAAACATTCACCTATTTTATATCCCTGACACCGACCTGGCGAGTCATTATTTATTTATATTTTGCTTTCATCACTGCATGTTTATCAATACATGACAGCTTCAAAAATAACTCATGCTGTGATTAGAGTTGCCAACTCTCCCGATTTCTCACGATTTTGATGTAATTTAGGTTAATACTTCAATATATGAACAAAAAATATGATTTGGACGTCTGAAAGCAATTGAATTTTCTCTAGATTATATCCAAATTTTTCCAAAACAAAACCTTGTGAATCAGATAAGAATTTCTGCTTTGTGAGTGAGAGCATATATATCCAGAAACGTCGTTCTCCAATGGGCATCGAGCTCCACTATGTGGCTTCTGGCATATATTAGCCAATGAGCACAAAGCAAGCTCGAGGCTGTTATTTGGATGTTCTTTAGTTATTTCGTTCATCTTGCCCCGAGTTGTGCGCGTATACATACTCAGGGCAAGTTTTAGAAAGAAACGGACTTCGGGAAATAGTTTTAGAAATTATCATCTTTTGTTATGTCTGCGAGAAAGGTGAAATACTCGTGTACGTTTCAAAAACCGTACACGGTTGACTTTTCTTCTATTATTTCCTCAAGGAAATGTAATAAATGTGCAATGTGTACTGTCTGTCATTGCGATTTTTCGATTTCGCATGGTAGAAGGGCGGATGTTCTCAAACATGTGCGTACACAAAAACACAAGAACAAAGAAACATGAGATGTTTTGAAAAAAAAAAAAAAAAAGAAGAATTAAATTTTTCTTCGGAAACAAAAGACCAAAAAGTGATTAATGAATGTCTGTTCTCTGCCTTTTTTTTTAGTGGAGCACAACTTGCCACTAAATGCATCGGATCATGCTGCAGCTTTATTTAGAAAAATATTTCCCGATAGTGAAATCGTTAAGAAATACTCAAGTGCAAGGACTAAAACAGGTGCAACTGTTAAAGAAATGGGTTTGAAAAATAAATATTCAGTTATTGATTGCTTTAAAACAGCTCCGTTCTGCCATCTCTACGGATGGAAGCAATAATACCGATTCAAAACTGTATCCAATTGTTGTTTCTTTTTTTTAATCCAGAGTCTTCAGAAATTGAGTGCAGTTTACTTTCTGTCCCCACTCTAGAAGGACATTTGACAGGCTTTAATATAGCACAGCTAATTGTTAAAACTTTAAAAGAAAATGCAGTGCCTTTGGATAATTGCTTAGCACTTGTTGCCGATAATGCACCAGTGCATAGTAATAGTAGGCTTGAAGACTGGTGTTGCAGGCATCTTTAGAAAGGAAAATTCAGATTTGCAGATTAAGAGGTGCACCTGTCACCTCTTAAATTAAGCACCTGAAAAAATGGGCAACGTCTTTACCAATAAATGTGGATGAACATATTGCTGATATTTATTATTATCTTGAAAGGAATTCTAACAGGAAGGAAAAATTGAAACAGTTCCAACAGCTGCATAATACTGAAATGAGAATAATTTTGAAACGTGTGTACACGCTGGCTGTCTTTAAAGACATGCTTATCTAGAATCCTCGATCAATGGAACCCACTTCTTGCTTTTTTATAAAGAAGATGTAAATGCTTCGAGAGTTAAGATAAAAGCATCTATTGAAAGATATAAAATACCTAAAGTAAATGGAGATGTAGTTACTACTTCCATTGTTAAAAATATGTTTGAGAAAAATAAAAGTAATTTCTGCACCATTCAGCAATTCAACTGGCAGTTCTCAAAATAATACTGCAAAATATAAGCGTAAAGCTGATACAAATTTCTCTCTAAATTAAAAAAAAAAAAAAAATGCTCAACACACGAAACATTTTTCAATTACTTCATTTTGTGAAGAACGAATATTTATGTCTTTTTCTTCGGACCTTAACAAAGCTTTTTGCTTTTTTTTTACAATTCATTTTGCCATCATTCATGTTCAACACAGTCTACAAAGCAAATTCCATTTCATGTTTTGCAATCAATGATTTATGATCTGTTTAAGACGTTTATCAAAGTTTGTAAAACAGTCTGTGTTTTGTCTTGTAATTCTATATATGATGTGATTTATAGTGAATAGAAAAAAAGAAAAGATGAAGATATGGTAATAGGAGCTGCACTACAAAAATAGGAAGAATTAAGACAAATAAGTTTATCTTCATGTTAGAAGTATCGAGTAATTGAATAACAAGAGTATGGCAACCTTTATGCTACATTACACTTGGCGATGATTATGGATTTTTAAAATGCTCTAAGAAATGTTGACGAGGCAAAAATTCAACAAAATTTCTTTTCAATGCTAAAAAATAGATATTGTTCCATGAAACTCATAGGCTAAAGATTAATTTAGTGCTATTTTAATTAAGAATAACTATGTAATTCACCACAAAACCCAGAAGCGGCGGGCAGAATTTAGGGAAGGTGAAATTTTTGGAATGGCATACCTGCCAACTTTTACGATTTTGTAATTTTACGAAAATGCGTTTGTCTTACGATTGCGATCGTAATTAGTTGAGTGTTTTTAGTGATTTGTCGAAAAATTTTAGAATTTTTCGCCATTTGATCGTGTTGTAAGCCCAACTACCGATACTCGACCAGGCCACTGGTTCTCCAACCGCCCCCCCAATCCCCCTCTTTTTTTTGTGGGCGCCAGATTTTTTTTTCGCGTCGCTTCAGCAGCAGGGAATTATTCAGCCGGACTGAGCGAGCGTGGATTGTCGGTTTCTTTTTTTTTTTTTTTTTTTTTTTTGCTTGCACGTGTACGAATTTCTTTTTTCTTAATACGCGTTTTACGAATGAGTTCAAAAAATCCGTATTTCAATAGTTTCGGCCTGCCTACAAAGCGAATTTCCAACAATTAAAGAATCCTTCAAAGGAAATAACTATGCATTGTTGCAAAGTGCGCCTCATAATAAGTCACGGTGGAAGAATTGACATTGTGAAGCATGTTAAGTATAAAAATCATGAAGTTAATGCTTGGTTTCGACAACGTCAAAGAAGTGGATGATTTTTTTTTCAAATCGGCTACGCATTCGGATGCGATGTTTTTGGCAGAGTGTTTGTTTACTGCATTCCTCATCGAACACAACATGCCGCTAAGTGCTGCCGATCATGCCGGTCAACTTTCAGATGGATGTTTATCTTTGACAAATTGAAAATTCATTCTTTGAAAAAGATTCTTTTTTTTTTTGTTGAAAATTTCCATTTGTTAAAAATAAAGAAATGAATGCCATAATGATGCTTTAGATGAACTACAGAACCAATTTTATGGCACAGTTTGAGACTTGCCAGTTCGGAGAAGAGACTTGATGTCCCGTGGTGCCTTAAAAAGAATAAAGAGTTCATGGAACACCAAAATATGTAGACTAGCAGAGTTTTATGTGCTTTCTCATAATTCCACACGTATGCTGAGTGCGAGAGAGTCTTCAGTGTTGTAAGAAAAACAAAACTATGTTTCGTTCTTCAATTTCACCAAAAACTCTAGAAAAATTTTGATTGTATGAGGCTAATTGTTATGACAGGAATTTTCCAAAGAATTTTGGCTAAAGCCAAAAATGCACTCTAAATTCATTGCAATAATTTTTTTGTGAACATTAAGTTCTGTTTTATGTTCCTAATAAATTTTTATACTCTTAACTGAGATTTACTAATGTGAGTATAATTTTTTTTTTCTATTTGTATAAATTGTTATTTTTTCAATAAAGCATGATATTAATTCTTCGTGTTGTTCTGAATTTTGGAGAAATCTTCTGAATTTTTATTTTTAGAGGTTGGCAGGTATGGAATTTGGGAACCGAGTGGTAATTAAGTGTTTATTATATGATTTAGGCAAAGCACTGGGATCTAAAGTTTAGGCACGGTAAAAATTTAGAACTTAGGAAAGCGCTTTGTAGCAGCGTAGAGACTGCACCAGGCGGTATCGAGCGCCAGCCCTAGATAAAGCCTTAAGTATATGTGTGAGTTTATTTATTCAGGACTCTGATTAGTTTGAGGCATGTGCAAGAAATAAAGGTATGTATAGTAAATAACTAAACTAATACAATTCAGGTTTAATTCAGTATGCAATAGGAACAAAACAAAATTTAGCGAAACAACTTGGCTTTCGTCGCCAATCTTGTGACACACAGCCAATAATGTATAATGGACGCTATTAAGTTAGACTAAAATTATCTTAACTCATTCTAAGGCATTTCAGTTAAGTAGCAGACTGTGCTGCTCCTTAATCTTCTAATTGAATCCAGCTTATTATTTTTTGGAGATTGTTGTTATTACAGCAATTTTATAAAAATTAAGCTTGAACTTTGGATTGCATCAAAAAGAGTTTCCAGTTCTGCAGCTACCAAAGGATCTACAAAGCGAAATTATGTTTTGATGTCCCTTAAACAAAAAGTGGAATTGCTGCAAAAAATGGATAAAGGCATGTAAATCTGTCTCAAAATTATGCGAGGAGTATGGCATTGGAAAGTCAACTGAAAAAGGAACTTTTTGATTTTTTTATGGAAGCAACTTAAAGAACTTACATTGAAAGAAATGTTTATAAGTAAACAATAATTTAAGCCTTTTGTAAATTTTGATACCCTTTAGATCATAATTGTTCTTTATTTCATAAATTACAGTTTAAATTGATGATCTATTATCCGGAAAAATCCGAAATCGCCGAAGTCTCGACCAATCCGGATTTCAGACTTTGTACTGTATCAATTTTTTTAAGTTATATCAAAACTTGTTCTAGATGTGAAACTTTATTCCTTTTCATTTCTGGTGGGAAACAGTGTTCCAACTGCATTTGTTGACTATATGAAATCGTGGTTTAGATAGTTTTCTGGATTGTATAAAAAAAAAATGTGCGCCAGACTAAGGCAACTGTTTTGGTGAAGTGCAGGTAGTTTTTATAACAATAGAAGTGATGCAAATGTTACAAAAATCATAATTTATGATAGCTACCTATAGTAGCTTAGATTGTAATACGAGTTCCGAGTTCTGTGAAATTTCATCTCATTGTTTCATACTAGGTTAGCAATCATGTCCAGATGTGCTCAATGCTATTGTCACTGTTAAAACCCATGTAATTTGGGGGAATAAATTTTCAGCATCTTGAGCAATGATTTTACTCGGAAAATATGTAGTCGTTATCGCTTATGATAATGCAAATACCACGGTCAGCACTGCAAAAAAAGTTGTAGTTTTTATTATAGAAGTTCAGCCTTATGTATATCTCCGAAAATTAGGTCTGTTCTGGACTGTTAAATAGCTTTTAGTGAAAGTGTACTTTCTTTAGGAAAGCTTAAAATATAAAAATTTTCAAATTATGCCAAGCTGTGTGTGGAACTAAACCTCACAAAATTTTGAAACATGGGAGTACTCTTCTGATTTTTGCTTTTATATTTTACTGACAGGATAATTGAGAAATTTAAAGCTTTAGAGCATTTCTTTTTCTGAAGGAAATGCTAATTTTCTTATTCACAGTTTTTTTAACATTAAGTTTCAGATGGAAGATCATTTATGTACACTTTTCAGCAAAACAATTCCATCATTTTGTTTCTTATAATGTTAACAAGAATCCTGATGAAATTCATAGCTGTTTTCATAGACTTAATGGTACCTGTAAAGTTAAGGCTGTATCACTGCACTTCTGCAGCTGTATAGTTTTTGTTGATCATGCCAAGCTTTTATCCTGTCAAAGGGCACTCAAACTTCAATTAGAGTGCACGTTTCATCCAGGGGACTAAGACATACACGTTTCATCCAGGGGGACTAAGTCAAGCAAATTAGGACATTATGCGAGGTGGTCATCTTGGTTTTGAAACAAGTGACAAATGAACAATGATGCATGTGCAAGAGTGTTACGAAGGAAGATCCAGTATTTATTTTTTGAATCCTGGGCCCTTTTTCTGCACATTTTCTTGCAGCACAATCAATTTCAAGAACTTCGAGAATATACTTGTTTATTGTTCATGCCTGTGATTGAAATTCCTGAACAGTATACTTGATGTCATAATATGAGTAATATGATTGAAAGGAAGGTTGAGTGATGTGTTTTATATGCCTTGTAAATGATTATATTGGAGATAAAATCGTGTTATGTACAGGCATTTGATATAATGTGATTCTCATAGGTGTTGTGTGTACTGTTGGGGTGATTTTCTGATGAATGACCTAATTGTTAAAATCTGTTAATATACATAATGTTTAATTATTTTCCTGACAGCAGTCAGTTCTATTTTACATTCTTTATTTTTGCAGTATTTATTAATTGGAAAATTGATATGATATGCTTTATTAGTTTTTTTTGGGGGGGAGCCACATTGTACATTCTTTGTTAGGAAAGTACTTATAATGTCTAGCTAATCATGCACCATTTGGTTGCATGAATCCATCTATTTTACAGAGAAGTAATGCATTGAATTTGATCACGTATAAGGTTGTCTTTCATATTTATTGCCAGAAATAGAATTTTCTTGCTTATAGTTTAACTGTTTCATTGGCATTTCTTTGTTTAAAAGACTGTATTTTTAAAATTCTCTGTTTAAGTTACTTATAATAATGTTTATTCTGCTATGCTAATATTTATTCTGAGAATTAAAAGAAAAATCTAGTCTTTTAAACAAAGAAATGTTATACTTAATATAATACTTATAATGATGTTTATTCTGCTATGCTGCATATAGCAGAATAAACATTAAACATTATTTTAAATAACTTAAACAGAAAAAAAAAATACCATTGTGTTTGATTGGATTGCAGGAGAAGATCCACTATCATATGGTTATGGTGGCACAGGGAAAATATCAACTAACTGCCAATTCAAGGATTATGGTTCACCATTTATGGCTGGTGATTGTATTTTGGCAGCAGTGGTAAGTTAATTATAGTGCTCTTTAAATGTCATTCCTTATGAAACTGTAACACAAAGTATTGTAACTTTTTAAAAATATTAGCTAAGTCAGAAAAGCTTATTTAAAATTGTATCAAGCTATTCCAGATGATAAAAGTATGACATGCAGTGCATTTCAACTGAAACTTTCTCAGAAAATTTGATACTGCTGCTATGCTAAACTCATTTTATATACTTCTATTATGAAGGCTTTTTAACTTCTTTAGAATGTGTGGCTATTAATTATGATGACTTTTATACCGGGAATTTTGGTCTGTGTAAATTACATTTCATTTGAAATGTACTCTTTTAATACTTTTCCTGCCATTTATGGAGGTTGTGTTGATAGTTATTGCCAGGACATAGACATAGATTGCACCCATATGCCGACTTATAAGAAATATGATTTAAAAATAACTTTGTGTATAACTGGGGTTGCTAAGCCTTTAATCATGGATGCATCAGCTCGTGATTAGCTCTAGAGGTAAAATTATTTCTCCTATGCCACAATAGCTGCTTGCATGTGGCATTATTTTTATATGAAACTGTATCACAAAAATGAATTTATAGCAAACTACAATGATGGCACACCTTTGTTTAAGACATTCGCTCAGGACAGCAGGGAGTCAAATCGTCCCACAGGACGAGTTTTGCATCTCTAGGCCTAACTTTAAGGGAAAAAATCGCCCCCTCAAAAAGACCTAACATTGTAATTTTTTGTACTATTTTAGATTATTACTTAAGCTATCATACATGTTAAAATTAGCATTTAATCATCTTTTTCCTTTACTTTATATGAAAATATATTATTTAAAAAATTGCTTACTTTGAGAAACAATTTTCGTAAGTTGTTCCAAAGTTTTAATTAACAAAGTACAGTAATAAACATTAAAACTTATTAAAAATACTAGAAAGGCTATTTACAAGAAGTAACGGAACTTTCATGGGAAGTGGAAGGCAGACACTCAAAGAGCTCAGACTGACAAATTGTCCATATGAGAATCACTTGGAACATTGCTAATTTAGAAAATGAATCATCATTCTCATCCCTGTCACTGATTTACCCTGCGAGTATGTCCTTCCTCTGATAAATAATGCTTGTTCGACATACTAAACTGAAGGCGAAGCTTTCCGAAATAAATAAGGAAGTATGCGAAATATAAGCAATAAAAGCAACACGAAGTATAGCAGAACCCCACATATTAACCCTGAAACACTCTACATACTAGCAAAAAAAGATATGGGATGCAAATGTTTATATCGCACGGCAAGTAAAAGAGCAGATGGGCAGAATGTAATCAAACTGAACATCAGGATCCTAAAGCTGTTCAGTTCAAAAGTAAAGGGCAACAGGATGCCATCTAGTGGTATTTAAAAGATATTTCAGCTTAAAATGCATATAAACATCTGTAGTCCTGTACCTCTGTTTTCTAGTGATGCATGGGTGGAGTGCCCAGCTATAAGAGACGTTCATAGGAAATACGTGTATAGGATACATGTCCGGAAAGAATCGATGTTCACTTTTTATGAAAAGAAAAGCCAGAAATATGATTCTGATCTGGTGATTGTTGCTAGGACTAGAGGAAAAGAAACCTACAGCTTCATGGATAAATCCGTTTTATTCTGATGGAAAGAAATTTTGAAAACCTGCTATTATAATATCCTAAAGAAATGTTCTTTAGCACGTTTCTGAAGCAAGCAGCAGTAGCCGCCAATTCATGGAGATGTTGGTTTCTTCTGTTTAGTTTGTGTTTCATTGTTCAAGAACTTATCTGTTTGATTTTGATCAATTGGAAACTAAATCTGCATCTTGGCAGTTCACTAAATTTAATGAAGACTATTCATTTAGTATTTCATAGTAAAGCACTAGCTGAAGAAATTTTCAGCGTTGTGCTAAAGAATTAAAACTCACTTTAACCCTAATTTATCCTTTGGTACACTAAATGCCCTTTTTGTGCAGAAGTGAAATTAATTGCTTATTGTTTATTATCAGAGTAAAGCTTAGCCATGAAGTTAGCTGTAGCAAAACATGCAACAGATTTGGGAAAATGTATTTTAACTTTTTTTAATGTTGTTTCTTCTGCAAAATTGTAGGTCATGTTTTTTATGTAATGTAACATCCAGTTTATGCTATTGAATCCTGTCCCACCAATGTCGGGCATGCTTAAGTGTTACAATCATAATTCATTTAAGTATTACCAATGGCCCTTCTCAAATGTTGTCTATAAAATGGGGAGGGAATTTTAAGCCATTAACCCTCTGAATGGCTTGACTGGCTTTATCCAGTCATTATATTTTTTTGGCACTTCATATATATTCACTTATAATTTAAGATATTTTGCTTTCTTTAATAATGTAAATGTCATCTTAATTAATGTAAGTTTTATGAAAATAAATACTAAAATAAGTAATTTTACAAATTTAGCAAAAAAATGCCATTTAAATACAATCTAAAACTAACAATCTAACAGATCTTAAAAAAAAAAAAATTAAAAAAAAAAAAAAATGCTGCTGAAGCGTGTTAATGTAATGTGATTATTATGCATTGCTGTAAGTTTATCAGAGTTCGTTGTAGATTTTGAGAAATATATTCTGCTCCAAAATTCTACTACGTTTTAGAATATTCAGCTATAACCTGCCATATTTTAAAAACAAGACTCTTCTTGATTTGAAGCAAAAATAAGATTTTGGTAATACTTAGAAGACAGCAAAATTTTTTTTAATTGTAAGAATGCAAATGCCTGTACATAGTTACATAAAACTGAAAAAAGAAAATGTAATGATTTATTTCAATTATCATCTTGAATAGGTAATAAATTTTTCCGAAACTTAAAACAAACTTTTTAAAGGAAACGTCTTTAGCCTGATTGTTGCAAGCGCATCAAAATGAGTCCTACTCACGCAAGAAATTTGTGATGCGGTAGATTGAATGGAACTCAGAGTTGCCAAACTCTCCCGATTTAACCGCCAACCCGATATACAATATATTTCCCCGACGTTTTTCTTATTCTTAAAATTTCTCACAATTTTATGGACTTGGCTTAATATTTTTTATATGAACAAAAATAAGTGATTTGGCCGTCTGAAAAGCAATTGATTTTCTCTAGATATATCTAAAACAAACCTTGCGATTAGAAACTTCTGCTTTGTGTGAGAGATATATGTATCCAAAACGTTTCCCAGTTCTCCAATGGGATGTGCTCCATGGTGTCTCTGGCATATATTAGCCATGAGGACAAAGCAGCGTTATTGGAGTTCTTTAGTTATTTCGTTCATCTTGTCCTGAGTTGTGTTAGTTCACATGCCTTCGGGAAATAGTTTTAGAAATTAACATCTTTCGATATGTCTGTGAGAAAGGTAAATCGAACACAGCAGACTTTCCTTCCATTATTTCCTGACGGAAATGTAATAATTTTGCGATGCGTACCGTCTGTCGTTGCGATTTCTCGATTTCGCATGGTGGAAGGGTGCATGTTCTCAGGTACACAAAAACACAAGGACAATATGAGTTGTTTTGAAAGAGAGAGAGAGAGAGAGAGAAACATGTTTGAAGCATTTTTCTTCGGTATTTGTGACAAAAAGTTCCATTAACTGCAGAAGGTCTGTTCTCTGCCTTTTTTCCTATTATCAACATTTTAACAAGTAAAGCGGTGAGACATTCTCGACTTAGCTCAATGACACTGGTTAGTTTTTAAAGCTAGGACTCTTGGAAGTATAACTTTAAAGAGAAGATTGATCAATGTTCAAAATGTCTTTTAATTCATAGCTATCTATTTTTGTGGATAAATTCTTGAACCACTCTTCAACCAACTGAGCAGGAACACTTTTTGATTCTCCATTTATTGCATGCTGCAGTTTAAATTTGTGCAGCCGTCCAGTTAAAAAGCTAGCTTCCTTCACAATCACTTGAAATGCTCTAAATTTTTTTCAGTTAATATGGTGACATTCATTGGAATGTTGGATGCATGACCCTGAATGAAATAGTTTAGCAAAATGGTTTTGACTTAGGCATCTTTTCATCTTGAACATGTAATTTCTTTGAAGCTGACTATCTACAATTTTCTGCTCTTTCTTCAACTTTTTTTCTGTCATAAGCAGCTGTTTTTTGTATTGTCACCATAATATCCAAGTTCTTTACTGCCTTAATTTTCATCAAACCAGTGCTTTCAACAGTTTCTTTTAAAATTTGAATTTTATTTTTTAATTAGTGCATTTCTGTTTCATGACATTTTGTAGAAGTTTACCAAGTTTACTTAACACCACAACCTGTTCAAAAAGGGGGAGGAGTATCTATTTTTCCTTTCAGGTAACCCTCTGTTTATTAGCTGGTTTTCAGCTTCTGTACCAGATTGTAATGGCTCGTGTCTGTTTCCTTCTTTTATGGTGGGAGTGTGAAATGCAAAACCAGTGCTATAAGTAAAACAAAAGAACAATGTATAACTGAAATTTTACTTTTAAGATAAATAAATCTGACTCAAGATCAACATGAAATGAGGTATAAATGTAAAAGACATATAAACGAGAATCATGTAAATGGCTCTCCACTGTATAATGTGTATATAATATTGCCATCTGAAAAAGAACTTCTGGACAAAGCACTAGGCATGCTTGCAAATTATGCTACTCAAATGAAAGAGAATGTTTTAAAACATTAAATTGTAAATAATTTTTTGTAATAAAGCATGTTTCTGCATTAATTTTATCATAGTTTAATAGTCTTATTATATCCTGTGAAATATCTGTACAAATGCCTACTAACTTTAAGCACTCGATGAAGTGGCAGGATCAGAATTTTTGCTCAGTGAAGACCATTGTACGATTAGGTTTGATTTTCACATAAACAGGCTGATTGAATAGGCATTTTTACGGCTGTCTTTGCAATATGAATTTTTCGTTTACCAGAGAAAATACTTTTATAAAGACATTCATAACAAAATCTTTGTTAAATCATGCAGGTCTAAAAGATAGTACTGAAAGATGATTTACTCTTTAACACTTAGATGTAATTAATAATTTCCACTTTGTTTTTCATTGCCTGTAAAGTATTCCTAGATCATGTTATATAAAAACTGCTGATTCATAAATGTATTTTCTATTGATTTTTCTAACTTTTTTTTTTTTTTTTTTTTTTAAGAATATGGACTCTGACCCTATCCAGATAGGATTTGCAAAGAATGGAAAATTTTTAGGCTGGGCTTACAAAGTCAATAAAAGTGAGCTGCAAGGAAAGGCATTGTTTCCACATGTATTGACAAAAAACTGTGAATTTGATGTAAATTTTGGACAAAAGGTAAGTTTGAAGTTTTTATTTTTTTATTTAATGTCTGCATACATATCTGCATGTTTTAATACCAAAAATCAGAAATTTTTTGAAAAATCTGTGCACTCATCTTTCTGCTACTCGTATAACTCTTCTGTATAAGGCATCATTAATAATTTAAAAGGGTATGTTCAGGCATTGAGGAAACATCTGAAGGAGATATAAATTCAGTTGGATTAATTACTGGTGCTGGTAATTATGAGTGATATGATATGTGCTGAACATTTAGTAACACTCATTCTAATGCATAAGTTGCTATGAGCAATCATATTTCATGTCAAATAGTTGCTAAATTAATTTAAACTTTTACTAGTTTAAATATATTGAAAAGTTAGATTAAAAAGTTCTTTTAAAAAATGCTTTTTAATCAGTTCTAATTTGAAAGGTAAATATGTCATGTTCAATAGCAGTACCATGGGAGTTGCATATGGAAGATAAATTATTTTGAAAAACTACTGTACTGCGGGTCAATCTAAGCTGAGAACACTGGATATGTTAAAAAGTGTATGCGTCCACCAAAGAATATAGTTCTACCTTTTCAAGAAGTAATATTGTAAAAATTACACTGTGAAATATGAATACTGCTGAACAAAGAGAATGTAAGGGGGGAAATGTGTGAAACATACATTTTCATTCGCACAGTAGAACAAACGATGAATGATTTAAGACTTGCATACAGTGGTCAATTTTGATTCTACTGAATGCTGGAGGCATAGATATCAGAGAGATAAAAAGATATCATTCACAGGGCAGAGCAGTTTATTATTATGCTGATGAAACTTGTGTAAATTTTGGGCATTCTGGAACATACAAAACTGTAAAAAGTGCAAAGAGAGTCTTTTTAAGCGGTCTTTCAAGGTTTAATCACACCCGAGACGCGATTACCATGGGAAAGTGAGTTCAGAATATTGTGAAAACTGGTTTGACAAAAAAATTACTGCCTAACCTACAACTGAACAAAGTAATTGTGCTGGGTAATGCATCACGGCATTTTGTCTAAAACCATTTCTTCTTCAGCAGACATTCAGCTCTGGTTGACAGAAAAAAATATTCCTTTGGAAGCTATGTTGAAAGCAAACTTTTAGTTCTCGTTTCTAAGGTTCGAAAACAATTTGAATTGCATCGTATTAGTGCTATAGGCTGCTGAAGACGGAAATACTGTGCTCCATTTACAACCATGTCATCGTGAAGTGAACCCAATTGAACTCGTATGGAGTAGTGTGAAAAGATATGTAGCATCCGAAAACAGAACTTTTAAAAACAACGAAGTCCATAAATTGATTGAGAAAGGAATTGGTTTGGTGATTCCTATGCAATGGGCTAAATATGTGAGGCATGAAATAGAAGAGAAAATGGGAAACTAAATTGTCTGGTGGAGAACACCGCTGAGTGCGGGAAATTTAATATTGACTAGTCGGATAGCTTAGATTCTTAAAATGATAATCTTAGCAGAATTGAATGCCTTAGTTAAAAGGCTCTTTTCAGGGCCACAAATTAAAAATGCAAGGCTATTTTCAAGTTCTTAAATTAAAAAAAGGCAGAACTATAAAGTTATAAATAACATTATGAATATAAGCTAACATCCCTTGGAAAATATTATACGAAAGTGTCCCATCAGTAGCCGAATGGTTAAGCTCGCTGAATGCTGGTTTGAATCCAGGCGAACGGGCTGGATTCATGCTCAGTTTTCATGGTTTTTCCCATGTGTATTGTGATCACATCTTAGTGAGCTCATGTGTGCTTTGCCATATTCAAATTACCTAACCTAACCAATGCGGAAGTACTGATGAGAAAGTAGAAGTAGCAAGGGTTTCTGTCTAAAGGATGAAATGTCTTTTTGGAGACTTTATTAGGGTAAAGGACTTCTTTTATATTATAATACACTGAGATACTCCCATACAGTTCAGAGCTTACAGTCATTACATTACAGTTTACTTTTTTATTAATTTTTTAGTTCTGATGAACATTTATGCATTGTTATAACTAACAAAAGACATTTCTAATGTTATATTTTTAATTAATTGGTGTAAGATCATTTGTTTGTTAATTTTTCTGTTTCTTTTACAATTTTAAAGTTTTTAATATTTTTCTAGCATCATGAAATTTTTAATGGTGAACTCTTTAGTCGTTAGACTGTAATCTGATCTCAGTTTCCAGTATTTTATTTATTTTATTTTTGATTTTGTACAGTAATAAAAAAAATAGGATAAAACATACTGTAGGAGGGTGATTGTCTGGGCATGATTGGAAGAGTATGTCTTATGAGACAATACAGGAATAAAAATATTATGATGTCTGCTACAAAATATAGTTTTTAAATAATCGCAAATTAACATCTTTTTTGTATACTTTGTACAGAAAATGAAAATCTACATTTTTCCCTGGTTCACTGTTTTGAAAGCAACAAACTGCATAAACTCTTAAAAATTAAGAGAAAATAACTTACTACTAGATTTTCTAAATTTATATGTTTTACTTTTAACTAACCGTAACAGTCTTGGGGGGGGGGAATTAACCCGAAATACAAGGAACACATACATATACTGTTTTAAGTAATGATTTGGGTTTTAAATGCCATTTAATTCACATGCGTCACATTTAGATAATTGGCAAGAAGTCACCAAATGAGTAGCGAATTGGAGGAATTGAATTTACGCGAGCGGTTTGGTGCATATAACTTGAAGAATGGGTGAAAAGCCATAAAAAGGTCGTTCTCAAGTTAGCATGCCTTGAAGTATAAGATATTCCTGAAATTGGTGTGCAAATTTAGGAAGTAAAATTTATAAATTTCCTTTAAAAATACTGTAAATAATTATGAGGCAAATTGAAATCACGAAAGTTAAAACACATATTCATTGAATGAACATATAGGAGGTTCATATAAATTAGAAGTGCATCAGATCCTGAATGCTAATAACTGCAAAAATTGCAACAAGTTTTATACCTAATTTATTAATTAGATTAATGTTGGGCATAGCTTTAACCCCTTCGCGCCGGGTAGCGCAAACACGCACTTATCGCGGAGGCCGGCAATGTCTTATGCGAGCGTCTGTCCAGGGCCGGGGGCTTTTTTGCTATTAAGCCTAAATCAATGAAATTTCCGAAGTATCAACGCATTTTTAATAATGCTCTATGGTATCAACGGCTCTGCTTTATAATATTTTTTATGTAATTTCCTTATTTTGTTAAATGCTATTTCACTTTTTTTCTTTAACACCTTTTGCTTTAATATACATCTGAAAACTAAATTACACTGGTGTGCAAAAATTAAGGACGAAGTCGAAAAATTAGCATATCAGCTGAACGAAGAGGCAGAGCGGACAGAAAGACCAATCAGGAGATTAAGTAAGGTGATGTACGGTAGCACATGCACAGATATGCAGGTAGACGTAATGGGGTAGTGTCTGAGTAGTATAAAGCATGTTCTTGGTGTAAGATCAGTATTTCTGGCAAAGAGAGTGCACGCCGTATAGCAGTTAAAATCACACCGAGTTGCTGCCTCAGCGAAGAAATGGCGAATAATCAATCTGTTGAGACATCTGGATAATTCCCGATTTTACCCGAGGTCGAATCATTGGGAAGTTGGAGGAAGGCCGCAGTGTGACAAGTGTGGCTGCAGAGTTCGGAATTGCTCACAGCATCGTTTTCACGACTTTGGAGACAATTTCAAAACTACAGGAACAGCTATCCGGGGGTTTAGTAGTGGTCGTCCACGAGGAACCACACCCGCAGATGACCGGTATATTGCCTTACAGGCCAGAAGAAACAGGCGGCAGACAGCGGGAGAAATCGCTAGACACACGACACAGGCGACTGGACGACCGATATCGCGTTTTTAACCGTGGCCAGAAGACTGCACGGTGGTGGTCTGTTTGCACGACGCCCTGTACGGTGTGTACCTCTAACGCCTGCCCATCGGAGAAGGCGTTCTCTGTGGTGCCGGGAACACCGGAATTGGGAAGAGACAATGAATGGGGACGAGTACTCTTACGGATGAGACAGATGAGAGCAGATTCAGTCTGAGTAGCGATTCTCATCGCATACTCATCTGGAGAGAGCGGGGAAGCCGCAATCATCCCTCGAACATCATTGAAAGGGACAGGTATGGAGGTGGCGGTGTTCTCGTTTGGGGAGGCATCATGCTTGGTAGTCGTACAGACCTTCACATCTTCGACGCAGGTTCAGTCAACGGGACCCGTTATTGTAACGAGATTCTTCTTCCATATGTGCGTCTTTTTAGAGGCACTATGGGTCCGCAGTTCCTTTTCATGGACGACAATGCACCATGTGTCATCGCACAGAGTAGCTGCCCGAACAGCTCTTAGAGAGTGAGGATATTGAACGTATGGATTGGCCGGCACGATCTCCGGATCTCAATCCCATCGAGCATGTATGGGATTTTCTAGGCAGACGCTTGGCAGCTCGTACCTTACCACCAGTAACGATTCCGGAGCTTCGATTGGCGCTGCAAGACGAATGGGCAGCAATGCCTCAACAACTCATTGACACCTCATTCTCAGCATGGGCAGACGCTGTGAAACTGCTGCTAGCAGTCAGGGGAGATCATATCCCTATTAAAGACCGGATGTTTCTTGCTGGACACCCATCACAGGGAGGTTCGGCCTTCAGTCGCATTGCGCTCCATGCTACTTTTCAATAAAGCTTTTTATCCTCTGATTCTCTTTTAGTAAGTGTTGCTTACATTACTCATGTCCTTACGTTGGGGATCTTACGGTATTGAATGTGTTGATTTGGAAAGCTTTTGTACAAAGTTATATTGAAAAAACCATCTCGTCCTTAATTTTTGCACATTAGTGTATATTACTTAAAATTCTCTTTTCGTTTGAAAAAAGGGATCTACGCACAGTCCTACATTACATTCCTTGCACTCGTAATAACTCATTTGCCGTTTTGGAGGATTTTTCTGGGAATGTGAACAAACAAAGCATCGTCGCCTCATTTTCTTATCA